GTTTAACCCTATGTCTTGTGTGTCTTTGTGTTATCTTTTTACCAATTGTTATGCTTTTGTTTACATTTTAAGGAGAGGCGATGACCGTAAGAGAGACGATCGCTCCAGGAAGAGGGATTATGATCGCAACCCACCCAGGAGAGACTCCTACCGTGATCGCTACAATCGCAGAAGAGGTCGCAGCCGCACTTACAGTCGTAGCCGCAGCCGTAGCCGGAGTTGGAGCAAAGACCGTATCCGAGACCGTGACAGAGAGCGAGACCGGGATAGAGACAGAGACAGGGACAGAGATAGAGATCGAGAACGCAGCAGAAGCAGGTCCCTCAGCAGAACTCGATCTAGAAGCAGAAGTAGAGGTGAGATCCTGATTAACTCAAGTTTTGAAACACTGCTCTCTTAACATGTGATGGCACACCCCAGGTTCACATCAGTTCATTGCTGACAATATTCAACTTATTGATGAATTGCACAAAATTTTATGAATAATTTTACTGTATAAAATGACATCAGCATTGAACTAAGCACTTGGACTGGAAGCTATCGTAATAGTAACTCAGACAGCTTGTCAGAAGTAGACAATTTTGACTAAAAGAAGACTGGATATGGACAGATGGATCAGCTGAGGACAAAACCATCAAAACAGAATTATAAGTTTTGTAATATGTAAACAGGTCAAGTTTTTAAATGTAGTTCATGCCATGATGAGCTCTTTACGTGTCTATTCACAGAGAGGGATTCTGGAAAGCTGAAGTATGATCATGATCGAATGGACAGGTCAGAGAGCGGTGATGGCTACAACCCAGCAGCCCTCGTCTCCACAGCAGCCACTTCACACTTCCCCGTCCCAACACTGAGCAGCACCATTACCGTTATCGCTCCCACTCATCATCACAGCAACAACACCACTGAGAGCTGGTCGGACTTCCGCCCTGAGCACCCTGTGGACCGAGTCCCTTTTAACAGACCACCCCCTCAGAGGAAGCGATGCCGTGACTATGACGGTAAAGAAAACTGATGACACTTTTCTTCCAGTAAAGTTGTGTAGGTTGGCTGTTTTCATTATGTTTCATATTCTACATGTTGTCGTTTTTCAGAAAAGGGCTTTTGCATGCGAGGTGACATGTGTCCTTTCGATCATGGAAGTGACCCAGTTGTCGTGGAAGATGTCAATTTGCCCAGTATATTGCCCTTCCAACCTCCACCAATCCCAGGTGTGGAGCCACCACAGCCACCCCCAGGCCTCCCGCCTCCTCCACCTCTCATGAACCCCCCACCTGTGAACCTTCGGCCCCCTGTGCCCCCACCAGGTTCCCTCCCACCCAGCCTTCCACCAGTTGCAGGTAGGAATTCTGATATTGCACTGAAATTAGAATGATGTTTTTGTCTGCCACTGTTCAGACATGGGACATGTCACATTGCTTCTTCATCAATCTGGTAAAGTGATGGCATTCTGTCATTCATGACTTCATTTAGACACATCCACAACAGTGACACAGAAAGCCACGATATCTGCGCCACATTTACCATATTTGATATGAGATTAGACAGTACACTGAGGTTTAAGGAGCTACTAATAAACAAGAAACTTAAACTAACTTAAACCAACAGCAAGCTTATTAGTGTCAAGGACAGCATTGGTCTAAATCTAACAGCAAATGATATGGTTTACTTTTCTTTACTTCAGAAGGGTGAGTTGTCACACAGAGTCATACTTTAGAAGCTACAGTTAAATCACTTGTTACATCACAGCTGCCCTTAGGTTGAGTTTGAGCTTCATCAAAGCTGTTGGGGATATTATTTTATTGTGAAAGTAGGATTCCTTTATGAAAGTCTAAATATTTACCTGTGATTTTCCTAATTACAGAAGTTGTTTGGTTTCATTGTCCACACCAGGGTATTTCCAGTCACATCCTATTTTTTGTGTGCATGGATGCATTTCCATAACTCTATACAGAGCACGACCTCCTAATTCCTAAAGTAACTACTAAAGCCACGCAGGCGTTCAAATGTGCATGTCTATCCATTAATGCAATGGCCTGCATATTAGACCTATGCCGTGTTGACCGTGTAGGTATATGTTACTAGGTGTAATGATAAATCCACGGGCAACTTGGAGTGGATGTAAATTAGTTAAATTTGTGAAGCATTGCTGAGGCACCAGCAGCTTGCATTCAAGCATGCATCCTGTCAGAATGTTGAAAGTTGATGCTTGAAACTGAAACTGTCTGTACAGCAAAAGAATAACGGAAAGGTTAACTTAAAGTATCTTTAACACAGGAGAAAAGAAAAGGTGAACAGTTGATTAGCTAAACAGTTCTGTACGTGTCTGATTTATGAAATTGGTTTGACTGGTTAGTGTTTTGCTTGAACTTGTTATTCTTCAAGATTTTGTATTTACTTTTACTGTATCTGACACAGGTCCCCCTCCTCCACTTCCTCCATTGCAACCGGCAGGCATGGATGCTCCTCCCAACTCCATCACCAGCTCTGTTCCCACCATTGTCACCTCTGGGATGCGCTCCTCACTCCCCCAGGCCTCGGCGCCACTCTTCACCTCTGGTAATGGCTCTTTTGTCTTTTAAAGTAACACATTTCATTTTGTATCACAAATCAAACTTAATGCACCTTGATGAACAGTTTTATGAGTTAAGGTTTCTTCTCTTTTGACTAGACCACTATGAGTCAGATGTGTACAATCCTGAGGCTCCCAGCATCACCAATACTTCGAGGCCAATCTATCGCCACCGGGTCAATGCCCAGAGACCCAACCTGATTGGACTCACAATGGGGGATATCGACCAGCCGCATAGAGGTATTGTTCACATGAAATAAACCATCCAAATAGATTGTCTTAAATTGTGTATATACTTTATCTTCTGCAGCTGGAATGCTTAGCCAGTCTATTTCACAAGCAAGGAGAATACCAGTATTCAGTACATGACACTGTATTTGTTTAAAGTTTTGTCCTAGAATTGTAATCTACTCTGCAGCCATGCGCTGTAGTCTCAGAACTGATCTGTCAGTGTTTGTCCCTTACCAGAAAAGATTCCTAACAACAATATGAGGATTGTCATGGAATCTGAATCGAGGAAGAGGCCTGGTATCCCCCATGACTTAGGTCTGCCCCCCAAGAAACCCTGGTTTGACAAGTAAGAAACCCTTTTTTCTGTGTTCTAAAAATAGCAGTCATCTGCTGCATTTTGACATATTGTATACATTTGACAATTTTATGTTTTAATACCATTCTCGTCACATTATTTAATAATTTCTCTTCTCTTCTCAGACCCAACTTTAACAAACCCAACCACCAGGGCTTCCACAAAAGACCTCAGTTCTCCCTGAACGCCAAGCTGCTTGTTCGGCAAATTCCCCCCGAGCTTAACAACATCAGCAAACTCAATGAACATTTCAGCAAGTTTGGCACTATCGTCAACCTGCAGGTCAGCCCCACTGTGTTGCTATGATATGAAAGTCTCAGCTTTATATTAGTAAAATGTATAGTTGCTTTGTAGTGCAGTCAGGGATGTAGTTTAATAGGTCGCTGATATGTGGACTTTACATTTCTATGATTCTGGTGTCAGGGTTAACTAACGAATACAATTACCCTGTTAGTGCTTGAATCTTTGTTGTTGGCATCATTGTTAATGTAACCGTCACAGTACTTTTCTTTTATCTCTTTTAACAGGTGGCCTTCCAGAATGACCCAGAAGGTGCCCTGATCCAGTTTGCCTCTCCAGACGAGGCCAAGCGGGCTATGCAAAGCACAGAGGCTGTGCTCAACAACCGTTTCATCAGGGTACACTGGTTTCGGGATGATGGGAGTGATGGTCAGGGCCAGTCCCACATGCAGCAGCAGCCTCAGTCACAGCCAGCCATGGTAAAAGCTCACATTAAAACTATCACTGCTAATGTGCTGCCAAGTTGATTTATTATGATTATTGGTGTTCTACATTTTGTGGACTTGTTATATGAAGAAATAGAAAAGATTAGTTTCAGCAAATGCCTTGACTTTTAACAGGTTGTGTATTTGTTTTGCCAATGGTGGTGGACACAACAATTATAGTTTTGATATTAGTTCTTTTAAAGTTAGCTGTTTGTCTGGAAACATACAGCAGCTTTCTCTTGAGTAGCTGAACCTGTTAAAGAGGCATCAGAGATGCCAGTTCCTCGACCATCATCAACTTAAACCAGAGTGTACTTTAGTACATCCACAGATTGCTTTGTTTTTGCACGGTTGGCGTGAAATGTAACAACCTAATCAAGGGTGACTCTGTTAGTTTGTTAAAAAAAAAAAAAAAAAAAAAGGCACTCGACTCCATTGTTTTGTCTTTGAGTTCATTGTGCCCCTTGAAAATAACGTGTTGCTTTCATGCCAGTACTGCCGTCCCTTACACTTACAGTACACAGATTGTTTTTATGAGTCTTTCCAGGAGACATAAAAAGTCAGTAAATACATTAGTTGATACGGATGCATTTAAAATTAGAATGCAACAAAAAATCTAGAAGTTCAACCCACTGAAGCTCACACTGTCTTTAGGCATTTTTTTTGCTCCTGTCATGTTTTTACTTATTTTGGATTTACATTTTTCCACTGCAATATAAAATCCTGCACATGCATTAAAACAACACAACTGTTGTTAGATGTACATAGAATTCAAAAATGTCTGTTGTTCAGTTATAATGCCATAAATCATAAAAAAGGCAATTTTTAAAATGAGACATGTAGAATTAGATGAGTTTGATGAAACATCACTGTTTTGAAATTAGGACTGGTTAATTTTCCTCATGAAACTGAAGGACAGACATAATAAATTTAAAAACAGTGAAAAAAAAAATTCTGTCATTTTGGTGATTTTTCAAAGAAGACCTTGCCCTTTAAACCCATCAGTAGGTTTTGGGGTTCAGGGGCTTAAACAATTATGAAAAGGGATTCCCTAAAGCCACTATAATGTGACCCCTTACCCCCTTTTGTCTTTCAGCAGCCTTCAGCTACATCTCTGAAGCAGTCTGTCAAAGATCGCCTCGGACCCATGCTCCCTACAAACTCTGAGCCTTCCCAGGATTCCAGTGTAGCCACACAGGTGTGTGTGTGTGGGTGATCTTGCTTTTTCCATATACTTGTCAAAATCTGCACAAGGTGTGTATAAACATTATGTCTTTTTTCCCCACCCGTTTGTGCAGAATCCTTCTAAACTGTCAGTGAAGGACCGCTTAGGTTTCTCTGCCAAACCGGCAGCTCCTGTTGAAAAAGTAAGTGTGTGCTCTGAGTTTAAATTTATTTATTTTATTTTGGAATTTCTCTCCTTGTCTTTCACATTGTGTAAATATTGTGTCCTATCACGTTTCACCTTTTAAGGTATTTTCCACGTCAATGGGCCTCACAAAGACTGTATACAATCCTGCTGCTCTGAAGGCAGCCCAGCGGACCTCAGAGGAAGCCCTGAAGAAAAAACAGGTGAGAAAAATAATAGAATGGTGGGAAAAAGGGAGTGGAAAGATTTTGAAAAGAAGCCAAAATCCACCTGATCATTTTCTTTAATTACTTTCACAGGAAGCCCTGAAACTACAGCAGGACGTGAGAAAGAAGAAGCAGGAAATATTGGAAAAGCACATCGAGACACAGAAGGTAGAAAGACTTGGAATAGATGCTTCAGTACATTCAAATTTGAGATTTTGCCTCCTCATACAAAAATTCAACTTTAAAATGTGTGCTGAAAAAGAAGTCTGACTCATAATATGCCCCTAAGTCAATCTTTAGACTCTGTTTTGATCTGGTTCTGTAGACGTAGTGGTAAACTGTTTCTGCATTTAAGGTGACATGACAAAAAAAAAAGTAAAATGATGACTTTTCACCACAACTGTTTTGTAATTATACAAGTACATATGTTTGGAAGCAGTGCAAACAAAAGTTAGGTATATGATTATATGATTCTATGTTGTTGTTTATTTTTTATTTTTTGCTCCACAGTTGCTGATATCCAAACTTGAGAAGAACAAAGCAATGAAGGCAGAAGATAAAGCCAAGATCATGGAAACTTTAGGCACCTTGACCAAGAGCATCACCAAACTGCAAGAGGAGATAAAGGGAATCTCAAGCAGCAGCAACCCGCTCCGAACAGCCAAAAGCAAGGCTCAGGTAGTGCTTTATCCCAGCTGCTGCTGTCCTAGCTGCCTCTGCACAAAACTCTACATATAAAAACCTGATGGATTATGATTCTTTGCTCTATCAGCTTATCTAGCATACAAAGATCGTAAACTTCCTTGCTTTCCTTTGTAGTTTTCATTAGTGGTAGGTCGGGAGCATTTTGGTGTATAGCTATCGTGTTGTATTTAACCAGCTTTTACTCACACACAGGCCCAGAAAGAACTGCTGGATGCAGAGCTGGACCTGTATAAGAAGAGCCAGGCTGGAGAGGACACTGCTATGTTAAAGATCAAATACACCCAGCTGCAAATTGAGGTACTGAAATAAACTTGAAAGAGAAAACTGTCTCACAAGCTTGAAATCAAGGGTAAAAATGCTGCTTACACAGCAGCCACTTGAGGGCACTCTTACTTTTGGATTTTCAAATGATCTGTTGGAATCTCATCTCAGCTGCAATTATGTGTTTTACAGCATGTGCTCTGTTTTGGTCTTTGTTCTTTCAGGCGGCTAAAAGGGGACTCCTGTCACCTGGACGAGGCCGGGGCGTGCTCGCTCGAGGCCGCGGTGCCGTCAGGGCTCGCGGAAGGGGAACCAGGGGACGGGGAAGAGGTGTACCTCTGCATGCAGTCGTGGACCATCGACCACGAGCGCTGGAGATTTCTGGTTACGCTGACACAGACCGTGTCGACTTGCTGCCACACTTTGCTGTAAGTTAATTTATAACTACATCACCCCACGAGAGAACCAATGTGATGTTTTGAAAGCAGCTGTAGGTGGGAGGTCAGAGGATTGTTAAAGTGCTGCCTGTCGTAGGGCTGGACATTCAGTGCCAGCATTTTCAGTTTAGAAACATTGATTCAATGAATTATAATCACTTTGCAATTGTTGAGCAGCAGAAGACTCTTTGGGGACCTCTGGTGGTTACAACTGCGATCGGAAACTGACCAATGATGCAACAACACACAATTACAAAGTTTTTTCTAAATACAACTGAGAAGGTGTTAAAGTGTCTCACTTTGCTCCAATCTGGTAATAGTCATTAGCACACAGTAGCTACATGAAAATTACTTTAGATTGTATGTTAACTTTTACTCGGCGGTAAAGTGATTCAGTCCTCAAAAACCAGAATAACTAACAGTAAAAACTAAAAATATAAATTCATTGTTGCAGTCGTCTAGAAGTGCAACAGATATGCTTTGGTATAATGAGCATGGGTTGTTCAGTCCACCCTATATTCTGAGTATGTTTGGGTATTAACAGCTATATTACTTGTACCCAATTGTATATTCTGAAATTTAGCCAAACAGTGAGAGTAACTATAACACACTTGTAGTATTCTGAGAAACTTGTTGAACAAACAGCCCTTTAACATAAAAATAATGTAACTTAAGGTTTAGAGTTGTACATCATATGCATGAGATCCATGAAAGATTTTTCCAATTTTTTAAGTGACCAAAATGTTTTGTTTTTGTTTTTGTTTTTTTGCAATTTTGAAGCAATTTGGAGAGATCGAAGATTGCCAGATTGATGAAAGCAACCTGTCTGTGGTCATCACTTACAAGACAAGAGCGGAGGCTGAACAGGTGATGGATTTCTTGATTTGTCTCACGTTTAAATCGTAAAATTTGTTTCCTACATTTTGTACTCTGTGCTCTGTACTGAATTGTCATGGACTGAGCAGAAAGAGCTTTGGTTAAGCCTGTTGTTGACGCACCTGCTTTCTCCCCGTCTGTTGTCTTTGTGTCGTCCACCTGTAGGCGGCTCTTCACGGAGCGAGATTCAACAACCAGACTTTACGCCTGGCCTGGCATAAGCCAGCCACGGCTCTCAGTACTGCGGATGCTGATGAGGCAGAACCAGAGGAGGATGAGGTTTGTGGCTATTTCTCATTTATAAGCACCTTTCAGTAGCAGATCGGGGATGTTGATTGTCTCCCAGGTTCTCTGGAGATAGAAAGACACTGAGCCTTCAGGATAGGGGTTATTTCTTACAGTGCTGTGATTTCATGCTGGCATAAAAGATCCTCTCAGAAATATTTACTTTAGTGAAGATATCCTCTTCAGATTTATCTCAGTAGAGCTTATTAAATACCTATTTCTTGTTGTCTTGCACTTATAGGACACAAGAGGGAGCCATTACACATTACAGTAAAGACTGTCTTGTGGCTTTTGTACGGCCACTCGTACTTTCATTAAACAGTTGGTCTGTCTGCAGGATGATACTCTCAGGTTGAGAATTTAGACCCTCTTGAGACTTTTTAAGAACTCTGTGCAATAAAAGGTCTTTATACTTTAAATTGCCTTTTTTTGTTCACTTTTTAATCACCAGCAGTAATCTCAGTGTTTTTTGTTTTTTTTTCAGTACCCAGAAGAGTCGCTGTATGACGATGCATTGCTACAGGATGATGACGAGGAAGAAGACGACAACGAGCCTCGTTCCTGGCGCAGATGAAGCTCAGTCAGACGCTCTCCGCCTGGTTTCATTGGTGTGAAGGAGAAGCAACAATCCAGCAACTTTATAACGTTTAGATGCCTGTTTATTGGCAGATTTCACTTTGGCTAGACTTTTTTCCCCCCCTAACACATATGTAACTGGCAGAAGAACCATGTGTGAGTTTGATTATTTTAATGTGTAAACCAGATGCAACAATGTTGAATTTTTTTAATGCTCTTAATGTAGAAATGGATTTTTTTTTTCTTCTTCTTTTTTCGGTCACAAAATGCAAATACTTTGTCTGGACGTGTGACGGTCGCTCACTTAAAGACACATTTGATGAACTCTCAGTTTAAAAAAACAAACCTGTGTTGTAATTTAACTGAATGACAGACCATAGCTTTTGCAGAATATAATTAGACTGACTGGTTTAAATGCTTTTTGTGTAAATATTTTATGTATGGATTTAAGTGATTTGTATGAAAGCTTGGCTTCTCAGTTTTTGGCTTTACTTTGAATTGTACAAAAAATAAAGAATTGAAATGGTCTCAAAACATCCTGCCTAACCAAAAAAAAAAAAGAAAAAAAGAAGAAAAAAAAGAAAAGAAAAAATTACCAAAAAAATGAAACCATTGTGGCAGTGAAAAAAAGAAAACTCCTAAAAAGAGTTGAAAAAGACCATTTCAAAAAACAAAAAACCTTCCTCTTCACCTAAAGAGCAAAAATCCTGAAAAACAATCCTATCAACAACTTTTTACATTTTTTTTTAATGCTCAGGATCGGTAAGGTAAACAAATATTGCACAGATTTTCATGCTAAGGTAAGAATGCATAATGCAAAATGTAATCATTGCCTTTGCATGGGATGAATGAAAAATACATGATGTAAATGATTATTCAAAAGTAACAAAGATCACTTGTGCTCTTTTGTTGCAGGAGCTGTCAACAAAGTCCAGCTGCACCTCTTCCCAATCCATATGGCTTCAATACTTGAATATGTTATGTATTTACAGTTTATTTAAAGTGCTGCTGAATTTAAATACAAACCTTTTATAAAAAAAAAATTTTAGATTCAGTTTGCTTATTCTGTGTTACAGTTGCTTGCTGCAAGGTGAGGTGTCCCGTGTCTGCAGGTAAAAGAAATGCAACAAATACTTGTACATTAAGCCGTTGACCATGAGTTTCCACTTGTAGACACAGCTGGAAAGTCTCTGGCTGAATTACTTCAATATTACAACTTGCCACTGTAATACGGAGTGGTTTCACAGTGTTGTCGGCAAGCTGGTGTGCTCTAGATGCAGTGAATGGGGAGGAGTGAGTGGAAAGAGAGGCAGCGAATTTTAAGATCTACAAAGCAGTGGTGTAAAGTTACTTCTAAGTCATTTTAGGGCATGAGGAAATTATTTTCACTGAAAAAGTGTCTAAATTCCCACCTTTGATACACAGAGTTGAGTTTTTAAGCATCAGTGACTAAAGAGTTGATATGAAAATGTAGTTTCTGCAAGACACTTGTCATGCAACTGTCCTGACTCCATGAATGCTTGCAAGTTGTGGGAAGCTTTTCCTCCCATATGACATGAACACGGCATCAGCACTCACTGAATCGGCAGAATTTTAATTTATATTTTAAGTTTAAAAAAAAATTCCATAAAAACTAAAATGTCAGCAAGGATGCCAGAATAATATGTAAAACAAACAAACAAAAAAAATGTAAAATACTGTAATGTTAAAAAAGTCAAACAAACAAACAAAAAAATGTTTTAAAAAAATCAAATAATGACATTTTTGGGGGGATTTAAATATAAGAATATAATTTATGCTCACATTCTTAAAGGAAAAATTACTATTTGCAAAAATTCTGCTTTTTGTAAATATTTTTTTCTATGATAAATAAACAGTAAGTTTATTATCTGTAGCTTAACAAAACTAAACATGTTGTTTTAAAAATGTAATTAGTGTGTATATAGCTATTTTTCGATTCCTTAATTTACAAAACGTTTCTTGTCAATAACAGCAAATATGTGTCAAATATATATTTTTTGTGCAAGGAATGTCATTGTATGGTCAAGCAATGTAAAATACCAAACTACCATTTCCAAAAGAACCCACTTACTTTTACCTGTGTTTCAGGATTCTGTCACTCTTATTGTACAGTTCTCATAATTTGTTACAGTTTGAAAAGCACAGCTGTTAAACTGCTCACACTGTTGAGTTGAAATGTCCCAGTAAATCAGTAAACAGTGAGTAGTATTTATAACACCAGGAATCTGAAACTGAAGCAGCAAAATGGAATTCAGACCATTATTAATTGTTGCACCTGTACTTTTCTTGGCATGCTCTGTCAAAACATCCTCTGTTTAGCAGGTCTATGTCTTTAATTTGAGTTGCCTGCCCACCTAACATAGGTGACAACTTTACAACCGTTCACCCTTTGCTTTCTGTAAACCATCAGTGAGTGTGAGTGGCTAAAGGGGATTATGCCTTCTGTGAGGGGTTACACCTGCAGCGAGGAACGCCACAATCCTTCAGCCTCGAATAAGAGCGAACAAATAACCCAATCAGTGTCCGCCAGTTCATTGTTCCTCGGCCACCCCTGGTGCCTGTCAGCCTTGCGGAGATAATTGTGAGAAATCATGTAAACCCTTTCCCCCTGCGCCGCCACCAAAAATACCTCCCCTCATCCCTCCGTCTCTCAGTATGGGAGTGTTAAATGCCCCCTCCTGCTGGCTCATTTGCCTACTGTGGTGCCACCAAACTCGCACAAACATAATTTTTTGGATCAAACAAGCGGTCGCAGATTTACCTGCACGCTTTTGTAGTCGTGGTAAAAACCCAGCAGCTTCTAATGTCATGTTATCGGTTTGATTGACACATTTAATGTTAATGATTTAATGCAGGTGGTGGAGCAGCTGCACAAATGAATGAAAATGTAGGATTGTGTCTCATGACGTCTGCAGCGGCTTCTGTGGCGATGTGACCAGCATGCAGGAATGTCAGAGCTCTGCCTCCCCTTTGTGTCTCGGTGGGCCGAGAATGTTCTTGTGCTCTGTGTGAGCTCTGAAAATATGGGATAACAAGTTTACAGCCTGCACGTCATCCATTATCTCAGTCTTTACTTTCTGATTTGTGTCAAGGAGACAAATGGCATCAACTTTTGGAATAGGCTGCCATAATGTTGATTCCTTTCTTCTCTTTTGTGTATGAACATAGCAGATGAAACTGAAAGTAACTGGAAGAAAGGGATGCATTTGTTCAAAGTCTCACTTTTTTGAAGATTTGCTGTCTGTCAGTGAAAATGTCTTTTTGAAGCCCCCAGGGCCTCAAGAAGTCGGTCATATAGATATACAACAACTTGGAAAATGCAAAACATACACGCTTGTAATGTATTCAGATTCATTTGAATATTATTGCTGCATTTTCACACAACACAAAAACACTGCTGCATGCCAATTAATACCAATTTAACCAATTTTGCAGACGTACAAAATTCATCCTAATAGATGGATGATGTGCAAACTTCACATCTTGGTCACTTACTGTATATTCATTTAAAGTGAAGATATGATGAAGGTGTTTCTGACCTCAAAATCAGCAGTGACCCCTCCCAACACGCTGCTATGCGCTTTCACGCGCCTTGCCCCCATCGCTACAATGCCAGTTCTCTGTAAAGTCATTAATATTTTATGTGATCATGGGCCTCCATAAGCAAATTTCAGTCCCTAGCAAGTTGAGCCAAAGCATGATTAATTTAGTATTTATACCCCGACAACCCTTTAAACAACGCAGGGCCCCTGGCCACAAAGCAAGGCACAGTTTGAAACAAAACTAGCAGCCTCTAAATCATAATCAGCATAGTCATTCAGGATTATTTGAGTTTAGGGACACATTTTTTCCCCCCGCTGTAACGCCAGCTGCAGTTTTGGTGTGGAATCAGTGCACATGCGAGGATGACAGCCACGGTTGTAAAGCGTCACCGATAAATTTTAGTATTACATGAAAGAAATCTTTGTTATTACTCAGCTGTGACACAAAACACAAAAAATCCCTCTCCGTCGTTTTCAGTTTGTTGGGAAATGCTGCTGTGCCAGACCTAACAAAGCCCTTTAACGTTGTCTGAAGACCACAGGTTACAGGCAACTCTGCTCGCAGGGAAACGCCATCGATTAATCAAGACATGGCTGCCCTGAACCTGCAGATCCCAATAAACCTCCTTCAGTCATTGAGAGCTGAAGCTAATCTGTTTACAAGTGAAAACATGGCGCCGCTTGGAGCAAGTAGAGCCTGAATTTTTATTTATTTATTTATTTTTTAACTTTTTTGTCTTAGTCTCTCTGGAATATATATTCAAAACACCTTTTTTTTTTGTTGCTTTTTTTGGGGGTGGATGTTCTCCAAATACATTACATGTGCAGACAGGCCTCCAGGAACCTGAGAAATAGTTTATTTCGGTGTAAATTCCTACTTAAGATCCCAATTCCTCTTATTTGCTCATTTCCCCCAGTATAGTTATTATCAAGTTTCATTAATGTAAATAATTATTACAATTTACGTCTATATTCATGTTTTATAAATGTCTGTTCTTTGTCTTTAATGGTGCTGGCCAGGAAATGAGTTCACCCGAGTTGTGACCTCTGGTTATTTGCTGCTCATTATTTTATTTGTATCATTATTTGTTCTCTGTAGTTCTAATTGTTGCTTTTTTCTGGTACTTTGCTTCTTGTGTCCTTTAGTTTCTTGTCTGCATTACCTACATGGACTTCTTCAGTCCAGGTAAGTACTTAATATGTTGTATGTCTTGGTATATATCCAATATACCACTGATGACAAAAATTATAATGGAGTGTTTTAACCGACACATAATTTTGCAAGCAACATTTTAATCTTGTATTTGGTCAAGGTGGGACTAATTAGAGATAAACTGATTTTATCTCTAGCAAAGCATTGTGTTTTGTACATTGATTGTTTTTGCTTTTCGCTGAAATTTCATCAGTAGATACAGTTGTCAAGTTAATGTATAAACAATACATTATTCAACGACAATACTACGTTAAAACACAAGGACTTTAAATTCCTGCTTAGGAATATACAGTATTTGAGCACTGTAAATGTGTATTGGCCTAGTCCACATGTACATGGGTGTTTTTACAACAGTGTTTTCCATTTGTTGTCTTCATTCACATTAAAATGCAAAAACAACATTTGTAACTCTGTAAGGAACATGCCAGGCCAAAAGGTGGCAATATAACCTTGGCCCTAAAGCTATTTTAGCCAATCAGAAGCCTGAAAGAAATTACTACGCTTCCGGTGAGATACCAACAGCAGCACATCGAGGAATGGGGGAATCAAATACGTTGACTGATTCCAACGTCTCTGTTAATGTGGTGGAAGAGACGCTGCACATTTATGTGTAACCACTGAAGCACCAGCACTGCCGTCTCTTCCAATGCACAGAATTGCCTGATGTAAACAAAGGAGACAATGGTACACACTCCAATGTTTAAAATATAATTTTCCAAAAGTCTTCAGTGACCTAAAACTGAATTCATGTGTTGGCAAAAGGTCAAAAAGCACAAAAAAAGCTGTCTTTTAAATAATGCATGTGTATGTGTTAGATTGGGCTTCAGT